GTTTGCATTCTGGACAAGTCAATCCTAATTCAGCAGATCCATTGGGAATGATAGAATGTTGACAAGAGTGTAGCAAAGGAATTCAACAATAATCACAGATGTTACTGTCAGATATTCTTTATTTATTTAAAAAGTGAATAATCTTGATTAAAATATATTTATATAAAGAAAACAATTCAATGTTGAAACTGGTTTATTGTAATAGATAAATGGTTTCCCTGCATTTGAGGTTTTTTTTTGCAGACTGCAGTACTGGAAGAACCACTGGTCACTGTAGATCTGTGAGCCCGCAGCACAGTGACAGAGATGTCATGGCAGTAACTTCATGGTCCTCTCTTCAGAGGATCACTGAGGAGAGATGATCAGTTCACATTATAGAGTGCATCAGTGACTGAAAGGGAAAGCTGGGAGTTAAGGTGCAAAACACTGTCCAGCAGAATACAGGTTCACTGTTTTAAAGTGGCTGTGTGTGAAGGCAGCCTTATTCCATAATTTCATACAAAAGGCAGTGAACCCTAACCCACACAGCACGTTGTAATTGTGTAAAGAGCACAGACGTTGAATCCACATCTTCTCAGATCCTTTCACATAGGAAGGTGGCTGTGGTTTTTGGAGGTCAGTCATCTCAGCTCCAGGACATCTCTGTTCCTCAGGGTAATATCCTGGACTCAACCACCTTCAGCTGCTTCAATGACCTTTCCTCTATCATAAGGTCAGAAGTGGGGATGATCGCTGATGATTGTACAATGATCAGCACCATTTGCCACTCGTCAGCTACTGAAGCGGTTCATGTTCAAATGCAGCGAGGCCTGGACAATATCCAGGGCCGTGCTGAAAAGTGACAAGTAACATTCATGCCACACAATACCACTAGGTCATTGTCTCCACTATATCATGAGACTATTAATCCGAAAGGACAGCTAAACTTCTGGGAACTCAGGTTTAAATTCCACCGTGGCAGATGGTGGTCTCTGAATTCAATTTAAAAAAGTGTGGATTTAAGAATCTAATGATGACCATGAATCCATTGTCGATTGTCAGAAAAACCCATCTGGTTCCCTAATGTCCTTCAGGGAAGGAAATCTCCCATCCTCATCTGGTTTGACCTACATGTGACTCCAGACCCACAGCAATGTGGTTGACTCTGAGTTGCTCTCTGAAATGACCCAGCAAGCCACTCAGTTCTACCAATCGCTACAAAGTCTCAAAAGAAATGAAACCAGATGGATCACTTAGCATCGACCTAGGCACCAGAAAAGACAACGGCAGAAACAACCATGTTGACCCTGCAGCGTCCTCCTCACTAACATCTGGGAGTTAGTGCCAAAACTGGGAGAGCTGTCTCACAGACTAGTCAAGCAACAGCCAGAGATAGTCATACTTACAGAATCATACCTTACAAACAATATCCCAGACACCACCATCACCATCCCTGTGTATGTCCTGTCCCACCGGCAGGACAGACCCAGCAAAGGGGGCGGCACAGTGGGATACAGTCGGGAGGGTGTTGCTCTGGGAGTCCTCAACATTGACTCCGGAACCAGTGAAGTCTCATGGCTTCAGGTTAAACATGGGCAAGGAAACCTCCTGCTGATTACCACATACCATCCTCCCTCAGCTGATGAAACAGTACTCCTCCAATGTTGAGCAGGAGGTGGAAGCATGGAGGATGGCAAGGGTGCAAAAGATACGCTGGGTACAGGAATTACAATGTCTGCCTCTAAGAGTGGCTTGGCAGCAGTACTACTGATCTGGTTGGTTCCTAAAGGTCATAGCTGCTAGAGTGTGTCTGCAGTGGGTAATGAGAGAACCAACAAGAGAGAAAAACGTACTTGATTTCATCATCATCAATCTGCTGTTTGCAGATGCATCTGTCTATGACAGTATTGGTAAGAGTGACCATCGCACAGTCCTTGTGGAGACCAAGTCCTGCCTTCACATTGAGAACAACCTCAATCGTGTTGTGTGGCACTATCACCGTGCTAAATAGGACAGACTTCACACAGATCTAGCAACTCAAGACTGGACATCCATGAGGCGCTGTGGGCCATCAACAGCAGCAGAATTGCACTCCAGCACAATCTGTAACCTCATGGCCCGGCATATCCCCCACTCAACCATTACCATCAAGCCAGGGGATCAACCCTGGTTCAATGGAGAGTGCAGGAGGGTATGCCAGGAACAGCACCAGGCATTCCTAAAAATGAGGTGTCAACCTGGTGAAGCTACCAAACAGGACTACTTGCATGTCAAACAGCGAAAGCATCAAGTGATAGATAGAGCTGTGAACCCACAACCAACGGATCAGATCTAAGCTCTGCAGTCCTGCCACATCCAGTCGTGAATGGTAGTGGATAATTAGACAACTCACTGGAGGAGGAGGAGGAGGCTCCACAAATATCCCCATCCTCAATGATGGAAGAGCCCAGCACATCAGTGCAAAAGATAAGACTAAAGCACTTGCAACAATCCTCGGCCAAAAATGCCAAATGGATGATCCATCTCGGCCTCCTCCAGGGGTCCCCAACATTACAGATATCAGTCTTCAGCCAATTCAATTCACTCCACGTGATATCAAGGAATGGCTGGAGGCCCTGGATACTTCAAAGGCTACGGGCCCTGACAACATTCTGGCAATAATACTGAAGACTTGTGCTCCAGAACTTGCCGCTCCCCGAGCCAAGCTGTTCCAGTACAGTTACAACAATGGCATAACCTGACAATGTGAAAAAATTGCCCAGGTATATCCTATACATAAAAAGCAGGACAAATCCAACCCGGCCAATTATCGCCCCAGCACTGCACTCTCGATCATCAGTAAAGTGATGGAAGGTGTTATCAACAGTGCTATCAAGCAGCACCTGCTCAGCAATAACCTGCTCAGTGACGCCCAGTTTGGGTTCTGCCAGGGCCACTCAGCTCCTGATCTCATTACAGCCTTGGTTCAAACATGGACAAAAAATACCAGAGGTGAGGTGAGAGTGACAACCGTTGATGTCAAGGCCACATTTGACTAAAATATCAAGGAACCCTGGTAAAACTGGAATCATTGGGAATCAGGAGGCAAACTCTCCACTGGCTGGAGTCCTAACTGGCACATAGGAAGCTGATTGTGGTTGTTGGAGGTAAGTCATCTCAACTCCGGGACATAGAGCTGTACTGCATGGAAACAGATCCTTTGGTCCAACTTGTCCATGCCGACCAGATATCCTAAATTAATCTAGTTCCATTTGCCAGCATTTGGCCCATATCCCTCTAAACCCTTCCTATTCATGTACCCATCCAGATGCCTTTTAAATGTTGTTATTGTACCAGCCTCCACCACTTCCTTTGGCAGTTCATTCCATACACACCACCCTCTGCGTGAAAAAGTTACCCCTTAGGTCCTTTTTAAATCTTTTCCCTCTCACCTTAAACCTATGCCCTCTCATTTTCCCATCATAGGAAAAAGGCTTTGGCTACTCACCCTATCCACATCCCTCATGATTTTATAAACCTATATGAAGGTCACACCTCAGCCTCTGACACTCCAGGGAAAATAGCCCCAGGACATCTCTGCAGCAGTTCCTCAGGGTAATGTCCTCGGCCCAACCATTTCTAGCCGCTTCATCAATGACCTTCCCTCCATCCTAAACTCAGAAGTGGGGATGTTCACTGATCATTGCACAATATTCAGCACCATTCATGACTCCTAAAATACTGAAGCAGTTCATGTTCAAATGCTACAAGATTTGGAGAGTATTCAGGCTTAGGCTGACAAGTGGCAAGTAATAGATAACACACAGTGCAGAGCTGGAGGAGCACAGCGGGCCAGGCAGCATTAGAGGAGCAGGAAAGTTGACGTTTTGGGTCAGGACCCTTCTTCAGAAACATTTGCGCCATACAAATCCAGGCAATGACCATCTCCAATAAGACATAGTCTAACCATCACTCCCTTGAGGATTAGCTGCTGCTTGGACTGGGCTGGAGCTGCCTGGATGTTACTGAGAAGCTGTGCTGCTGCCGTTCACCCCCAGGTACACTCTGGTCTGCCTGGCTCCTCCTCAAGGCAGAGTAAACTATAGACAAAATAATTCCTATTCCTCATGATGTCCTGTCTCACCCCACCGCTTTGTCTACAAGGCTTTGGCTGTATACTTAGCTTAATTGTCTCCTTCCAAGTTTTTTTTTAAAAGAAAAAACCAGAGTGTCCTTTTGGTAACCTTTTTCTACAGTGTCCAAACATCATCTCAGTCTTCCAATTGAACCAATCTTTACAATCTTAAGAATTTAGGGAAGTGTAATCTTCTGAAACATTTCCCTTCATCTCCAGTCCAGTTGTCTGGCATTTTGAGTTGATGGAGTTCACTCCCTAACCTTAACCATTGGAAATTTACATCAAATTTTCTTTTATATAAAATGCATCCATTGTAGATCATTGTAGTTCTTAACGTATGCGAACACGCAGTGTAGACGAGCAGACAAACTGACCCTTGATTTGGTACTTATTTTTTAAAAAAATTTCAAACCAACCCGTTCAGAGATGTTAATGACACCTATGATGCAGGCAGGACTTGAACCCAGGTCTCTGGGCCCAGAAACAAAGTGAAATTGCTGGAAAAACTCAACAGTTCAGGCAGAATTTGTGGAGAGAAAGCAGAGTTAAAATTTTGGGTCCAGTGACCCTTCTTCAGACAAGAGGGTCATTGGACACAAAACATTAACTCTGCTTTCTCTCCACAGATGCTGCCAGACGTGCTGAGTTTCTCCAGCAATTTCTATTTTTGTTTGTGATTTCCAGCATTCACAGTTCTTTGCTTCTCTCCCCATCACCCCCCCCCCCCCCCGTCCAGAGGTCAGGACACCACCCCCGCACCACAAGAACCCTCTTTGATTTGGTAATGATAATAAAATTGGCTAACTGCACATGTATGGTTGCACCTAGGTGCAGATAAGGTGTTCGTGCATTCTAAACATCATTATGGTATAAAACCAGACAACATAATATTTTTTTTTATGGTTTTATTTCAGAATTATCAAAACAATGTGTTGTGCTAACAGCACAAATGTGTATGAGGGATTTTACAATGAAACGATACAGATTAGTAAGCAGCACATGGTAATCAAAGATAGCACTGAAAGCAGAAATACAAATACACTCACCAACACACATACAAAGTGACAAATAAATACACTTGATGATTTGCATGTCAACTGCCAGGCACACCAACTAGAATGAGAACATGACGGCCTGTGTAAAACTGGTACACCACAAGATGAATCTGTACATTTTAGGAATATCTGAATATCTAATCAAACTTTCGAGTGACCAGAGTTTTGGAGATGGGGACTTTTGTATTTCTTGAAACTGTAACATTTCAAACTGTTGGCTGGTCCTTCAGGTGTGGTTGCAATGAACTGCTGTCAATTGGAGCTGTCTGCCCAGCCATCTCTTCTTATACCAATTGCCTAAAGCCTCCGATGCTAATTACAGCAACAAACTTCATTTGAAAATTAGATCGAATGAATAGTAGGTACTAAAATAAATCTTGCAAACACAAAGAGGAAGTACTCTGTAAAATACAAATCAATGGGAGGACAATCTGAAAGCAAGATTTTTTTTTGATTCGTTCATTCCTTGCACTTCAGATGACAGGCACGTCAGATCTGACAGAAACCCTGGATTTCATTCACTCTGAAACCCACATCATTAAGCATGGGTATGGTGACATTCAGCACACTGCTCAAATGTCCTTTTCAATTTGATGCTTTCATATTAATTACTGCCACCAAACACAGCAATTTGTAACTGAGACCCAGCATGTCAGTGAGCTAGGGATGCCTGACCTGAACTCAACTCTCCCAAAGCCTTTACTGAAAATAGTCAACAGAACGGTTCTCTTTTCTAGATTCTAATCTGAAATTATCCTTTCAGTATTAAGTTCAGGAACAATCAGTTTCTCTACAGCAAAATTTCCCCACACAATCCCCTCTCCACAGAGACCCCTCCCCACATTCCCTTTCCATACTCCTCCCTCCCCACTCAGCCTCCTTCCTACACACAAGATGTCAATTTCAATCACCAGCTCACCTTTATTTAGGAAATTGTTTTCTTAACTATTTTAGACCAAAATAGAAAAAAGAATTTCAAAGTTGTAGCTTTCATTTTAAAAGTAGTGACATCTCTGACTTACATCCAGTACCTGCACCAAGGCAGTCTCTGACTGCAGTTGTACATCACCTTCTGCAATGCTGCCTTGTTCTGCAACACCTTTTCCAACTGGCCATTCACGTCTGCTCTGATGTAAACCCATAATTCTTGAAGTAAAATTGGAAACTGCAGCACAAAACAGCTAGGATAAGTCAATCAGTTCAGGTTATAGTTCATTAGGTACCCATTATCACACCCAGAACTGTATTGTCTGCATGCTGATGCTTTGGACCCACCTAGTATTGACAATATTTTTTGTATTTGAATTCATATCTTCGCTATCCCTAAGAGATGACTGATCTCCATACACATATCTAGCAGTACAGCAAAATAGATCTTTCTAATCAAGGAATTAGATCATTCAAAACTACCTTTTAGATTCTGGTTTAAAGAGCGTACAAGATGATTAAAATCACTTGGGGTTTTGTTGTGTGGTACATCTGTTCACCTGAATTATAATTAAATGGGAGAATGTGAGGTGCAGACCCTGGAACAGACATAGGTCTGGACTGGAATTCCTCCTCCATCAGCAGAGTATAATGGGCAGGAAACAAAAAAAGATTCATCAGTTTGTTTTGTGCTGTTGGTTTGACTTTACCTGCCAACACCTCCTTTTGGGTTACTGGGTTCAAAGCTCACACTAACCTCTCAAAACATTCATTATTTGCCCTTCTTCGTGCTCAATTAACCACAACAGATTGTCTAACTAAGGTTTCATCACTTCTGCTCCCCCTTCTTCCTCATACCACTCCGAGCTAGCCATTTAGCAGTGTAGAGAATAGCTTACTCCATCTACTGACTGAATTGAGGGATGCATAAAGAGATTTGCTGAAGACTTGAAACGTTGAGTCAGAAGATAATACTGAATCTTTTAACTTTTAAAAAAGTTCTGGTAAAGTTATGATGACAGTGCCTGGAGATTGGGAAGCACCACCAGGCAAAATAAAGTGTCAAGAACTGACCCAAAGCAGTTTCCTTAAAGTTAATGTTAGATTCTGTTGAAGACTAAACAGCTTAGTTAAGAGGTGCGTTTAAGAAGCTGGTGGAATGGTATAATTAGACCAGTTACTTTTGAGTTGACCAGACAGGTATTAGAATAATCTTTTCACGGAGAGCTGGTGGCATAGTGGTAATATACCTGGGCTAATAATCCAGAACCCAAGGCCAATGCTTTAGGGACACAGGTTCAAATCCCACCACGGTGATGTGAAATTTGAATTCGTTAAAAACTTAGGATAAAATACAAGCTTAACTGTGAGCACATAATCAGTGTTATAAAAACCATTTCACTAGTGCTCTTTAGGGAAGGAAATCTACCATCTTTACCTGATCTGCTTTGCATGTGACCCTTGGGATAGACAATGAATGCCCACATCCTGTAAATGAAAATAAAATTCCAATCTTTTTACTTAACTCAGCTCAGACAGGGTCAAAGTCACTGAAAAATCAAGTCATCAATCTGTAGGGAGGTTGTTCCTGTTGAACTAGAAAACATCTACACCCTCATCATTAATGTTTGCCTCTTACAGTACAGGTTCGGTTGACTAAGACTCTAGGCCTCAGTTTCAACATGATGATCTAAAATGAATGCGCTGGGTTACATGTTCTGTCGTTTATCATCATAATTAAATGTACCAATTAAAGATATACAAATGTGTGGATTAACAAATGGATATGTTGAGGTATGTACGCAGATAAGCCCATGTATGTGTATCCAATCTCGAGCTGCTTGTGGACACACAGACATGTTAACAAATGGGAATAAACACATTGTCATGCCAAGAAGTTTGGGTACACATATGGTCACACTAGGATACTCAGATTTTCACATGGCCAAAAACACACTACAGAAGTTGCATTACAGAATATAAATATTCTCATTTGTTAAATCAACAGTTTTGCATCAGACCTTGAGAACCACGAAACAAAACATGCAAAACAAGTTAGAAAGCAGAAAAAAAGGTGAGGCAGGGTGTTCCCAATGTTAAATCTAACTGGGTTTAAATATTACAGGGATTTATGGAAAAAGCTTACTGCATCATTTTACTGAACTAATAGCTGATAGTGCGCTAGGTGGGAACCAGTTTCACTAACTCACGTCTACCACTAATATCAATAAACTCACAGGAAAAGTTTGAAAATGTTCATAATTGTGAAAAGTCAGGTCATCAATTTGAGCACAGATTCTCTATGTTGAACTATCTCTACCCACTGTTTGCTTCATTCAGGTGCTGATTGACTAGTTAAGAGCTGGCAATGGTTGTTTGCTTGTTAGTGTTACACTTTAAAGCTGTGAGCTCAGTCACTGCACTGTGGTACAGAATGACAGGTTGGTTGTCAAACACAAAAGGAAACTACTACTGGATGCTGGAAATCTGAAACAAAAACAGGTAAAGCAGCATCTGTGAAGAGAAACAGAGTTAACATTTCCGCTGGATGACCTTTGATCAGACGTCAAGCTTGTTCATCAGCTCCCCCCACAATGGTATTACCATAACTAACTATTCAAGCAGCCACAGAGTGGAGGCTAGGCACTCTATACTGGATGGAGAGTTTTCAGAGGGAAAATAAATAAAAAAATTAGAAAAAAAATGCAAGATTGTATTGTCTATCTACTTCTGTGTGCCTTCACATTCTAGCACTAAGGCACAATCAGAGAATTAAAAACATATTACTAACTTGGTAAAAAAAAACAGCAATACACATAAATTTAAGAAGCCATTGTAATATACTACATCATTTACGTTGTGCTCATAAGTTTTACTATGTTCTTGTTTCACAGTAGTCAGTTCAATCACCATCAACTTAGCACCATGAGAGCACTCATTCTGAATGCAAACAGAGAGAACGTACTGATAGAAACATCAGTTTGTCAGGACGATCTACTGGCAAAGATATTCCTATTCTCAAGGGACTGTAAAAGGCTAAATTCAGATTGTTGGACCAGTGGAGCAGATTCATCCAGCCAACAGCCACTGGTTCAGGGCAACTTTTAGCACCTAAGCCAACAAAAACCTCGAGACAAAAGTTTGCAGCTAATATAATCTCTAGGAATAAAAACGAGAAACCGAATTTGGTTCCAAAAACACAGACACTGTGCCGCAGATTACTCTACATCTGAAAGAAATGGGCCATGTTTCCACAACATTCCAAGATTAGGTCTGACAGAGTAGATTCAGTCTGTTAAACTGACATTCCTGCTCCAGACATTAATAGATCTGCATTTCCAGTTTTGATTGATGACTACTGTAGCTGACAGCAGAGCAAAGAAAGAACAGGGCAAAGATAAGACAGACTATAAGAAATAAGGATAGAAGTAGGCCGTTTGGCCCCTGAAGCCTGCTTTGCCATTCAATGGGATCGTGGCTGAAATATTACTCACTTCTTCCTGCATGAGTGATTTCTTTGGACATCTGCAGTGGAGAGTTTCACATTGCACCAGGGTCAGTAATGCTAAGCACTTTGGTATTCACTGACATCAAGTAGAATTTAAATTCCAAACTCCCATAAACAGCAATAGCATAGTTGGTATGCAGTTAACATTATATATTTAGTCAGACTAATTAATTTAAAAAACAGTACCAATCCTGACTAAATCTATTATTGAACTAGATTAATAAATGTCAGATATTTTCTTGAAGCAACACAAATTATCAGAAAGGATACCAGGTATCCCATCTCAAAGCAACACAGATGGCAACTGGCTCAGCTTTTTGCAGAACAGGAAACAGATTTCCAGTGCTTAGATGACCAGGTGTGTCCAGTTGCTTGAGGTTCGGCCATACTGAAATTAAAATGCAATTATATTTTTTGTTAGGCACTGTATCAGTATTTGTATTTCTTCATAATTCGCCTCAGTCATAAGGCTGACAGCATAGAAACACACACAGATTCAAATAAAAGATCTCTTTGATTGGCACCTGTCTCATCTTTCAAGAGATAGGGTGAACACTACACCCAGTGTTCTCTTGAGCTACACAGGCCAGATTCTCTTCTCTATGTCAGGGCAACAGCTGAAATGCTGTAACTTGCCTTAGGACCCCTGTGCCTCAGAGGGAGGGCAATCAGGCAGGGGCCCCCTGTGCCTCAGAGGGGGGCGCAATGAGGCAGGGACCCCCCTGTGCCTCAGGAGGGGGGGCAATCTGGCAGCGACCCCCCTGTGCCTCAGGAGGGGGGGCAATCTGGTGGGGACCCTCTGTGCCTCGGGGGGGTGCAAATCAGGCAGAGGCAGGGATTTATCCCTATACCTCCCACCCTCGGGTGTCAGAAGAGGTTTCAATGATTACTCTCTGCAAGGTAAACCTTGTCTGTCGCCTTATAAAACATTCCAAAATTCCAGAATAAAGTTTTCTCCTTTCAAACCCCGACCCACCCGTCAGCCTGCCTTGTCTATTTTTAAATTACGAAGCATCCAAAGAATATGGATCAGCTAGAAATGATCAGTTGTGATCCTGAACTCCTCGACAGGCTCAGAATTTTTCGGTTTAAGAGGAGAAAGCAGGCTTTTATCCCTTTAAAGGAAATGACACAGTTGGGATTATAGTCCACCCACAATTCCCAGGATGCTTTAGCCAAAATGCATCTTTAGAAACATGAAGCTACAGGGTTCTTGTGAAAAAACAAAACCTGATTCACTCCTGTCTTTGAAGGAAGCTTGCTGTCTCTACCTCATTTCACACTAACACTTTAATGTTGCTGAATAGGTCCAAGACCTGGCTCAGTGGGATTTAATGGTATTAAACTGTTACAAAGTTCAGGGGATAGACAATAAACACCAGACTTACCAGTGATCCCTCTATCTCAAGAACATTTTTTAAAAAGCCTTTTATTTACCGTGCCACTTTATTCCAAATCACCTTGCAGGTAGTGGCAGCGCAGAGAAAGCTGCTAATCACTGGGCTGAAGAGAATATTTTTGCGCATAGAGAATGGAATATTACTTCAAACAAAAACATTTTCTGGTCAGTTTTACCAGTCTAAAGGACAGCTTTAAAACATGTAGCACTGTATAATGGGAAGAGATACTCTTCATGGAAACCCTACACAAGTATGAAGTTGTATACAATCATCATCTTTATTCTGGGAGAGTCAAACAGACACAAAGTTTAGTTTAATTGAACTTCAAAAGGCTTAACATCTACCTGAATATCTGTTAGCTCTTTCAGGAACCGTTTTGCTAGTTCTGGGCCATTCTCCATGGTGGGAATGTGGTAGTTCTGAAGGAGAGCAAAACAGAAATTTTACCTACAGCACTCCACCATTAACATGCTTTCAAATAAAGAATTATGTTTTTAAATTGTTCTATAATGCAAATCTTTTACCTCTAGCACATTGTAGTTTTTCTGGTTCTTTTTTAAATATCACATGCTAATATCCTGGTTACATGATCATATTCGTTAGGGACAAGATTACAACATGGGGGTCCTCAATTCTACCTTTTAATAAGGTTGTGTCAGATCAGAAAGTGCCTATAACTCCCCCTTCCTGTCAAACTCCATATCCCCCTCCACATCCTCTGCTCTATCCTGCCTCCGCCCTCTCCCTCCCCATCCTGTGCCCCTTCCCTATCTTCCATCCCATCCCCCACCCCGCTCCCCTCTCACATGCCCCAGCCCTTTCCAGCCCCTGCACTTGACCTCCCAACACCACCCCCAACCACGTAACGGAATGATAAAACTGGTTCAATGGGCAAAGCAAATGCGGGAAGTCAAATTGAACTGCAAAGATTCAAAGAACCCAGCGTTGAACCCTGGTGTCTACTGAATATCTGACTTCAGCTGGGCCAGCTGCAAGCTGCTGATAGTTAGCCTCAGTGAACTATGTGGGGAACATTATATAATGATCCTCTTGGCAACTGGGCTGTCTACATTTCAGATGGACAGAGAATCTGCATTGTTGTTGGTTATACTGCATTTACAAATCAGCATTGTGAAAACACTTGGCTCACATGGAAGATTTGCCTTTTGGATAAGATGCTTGAAGGCTTTTCTGTCAGGTCACCCGGGAATGGACAACTGTTGAACTTGGCAGCCACATTTTCAATTAAAAAAAATACCAATTTGTAACTTGGATTAGAAAAGTGAAGCCTACTTAGTTTAAGTGATTTTCTCCTCATTGGCAGGGAGCAGAGGGAGGGACTGAGATTATGAGGGTTTTGAGGGAAGCATGTGCAGCAGCTGCTAATTTCAAACATTGAAGATCCAGAAGAACTTGGTTTACAAGTCAGTGTTGCTTAGTCCAATGATGCCGATCTGGACAGTTAATTACTACCATTTTAAAAATAGTCAATTTTCTTTGAAACTGTATACTCTTCACTCTCATAGCCCATGTAAAATAAACCAGGACATTGCTCTCAAATGTTATTTCAGTTTGTCTTCCAAAAGGAAAAAAGGATTCTGTTATATAATATTATTTAAACTAGCTTGGCAGGAGGATGTGAACGTAAGGGGAGGCTCTGAGCTAACTCGGAGCCAGGGACCCGGGTTCGATTCTACACTCGGGTGGCTGTCTGTGTGGAGTTTGCACATTCTCCCCATGTCTGCGTGGGTTTCCTCCGGGTGCTCTGGTTTCCTCCCACAGTCCAAAGATGTGCAGGCTAGGTGCATTGGCCATGCTAAATTGCCCGTAGTGTTCAGGAATGTGTAGATGAGGTGGGTAATAGGGGGATGGGTCTGGGTTGGATGCTCTGAGGGTCAGTGTGGGCTTGTTGGGCTAAAGGGCCTGTTTCCACACTGTAGGGATTCTATGTTCTATGATTGCATGATCTAGCTAGAGTGGGTGAGGGTTTAAGGAAAAAGAGAATCAAGAAGCAGCTGAGTTGTGTAGCACTAAGATGAGTGGAAACCAGGTCGTGATAGAAAAAATGTTTAAAAATAAAGGTTCTTCTGGTGAAGGTGTTAGGAATCAAAAGGAAAGTATAAAAACTAGGATAAGAGCTCTTCACCTGAATGCTCATAGCATTCAAACCAAGGTAAATAAATTGACAGCACAAATCATGACGAAAGGGTATGATTTAGAGGCCAGTACAGAGTTATGGTTGCAGGGTGGTCATGACTGGGAGTCAAATATCCAGGCATATCAGACTATTTGGAAGGACAGACAGGAAGGTAAGGGAGGTCGTGTAGCTCCAATATTTAAGGATGACATCAGGGTGGGACTGAGAGATGAAATAGGTTCTATGGAGAAAAAGGTTGAATCAATGTGGGTGGAAATTAGAAACAGTAAGGGGAGAAGGTCACTGACAGGTGTAGTCTATAGGCCACCAAATAACAACATCACCGTCAGGTGGGCAATAAACAAAGAAATAACTGATGCATGTAGAAATGGTACAGCAATTACCATGGGGATTTTAATCTACCTACAGATTGGTCAAAACAAGACAGTAAAGGCATCCTTGAGGAAGTGTTCATAGAACATATCCGCGATAGGTTCCATTTCATACTGTTCGAGGAACCTAAGAGGGAACAAGCTTCTTAGATCAGGTCCTGTGTAACGAACAGGAATAATTATAAATCTCATAGGCAGGGATCCTCTCAGAAGGAGTAATCACAGTATGATTGAATTTAAAATACAGATGGAGGCTGAAAAGGTAAAATCCAGTACCAGCGTCTTGTGCTTAAACAAAGGAGACTACAATAGGATGAGGGAGAAGTTGGCTAAGGTAGACTGGGAGCAAAGACGATATAGTGGGACAATTGAGAAACAGTGGAGGACTTTCAAAACAATTCTCCACAGTGTTCAGCAAAAGCATATACCAGTAAAAAGGAAGGACTGCCACCCAGGTTGATAGGGTTGTTAAGAAGGCGTACAGTGTGTTAGGTTTTATTGGTAGAGGGATTGAGTTTCGGAGCCGTGACGTCATGTTGCAGCTGTACAAAACTCTGGTGCGGCCGCACTTGGAGTATTGCGTACAGTTCTGGTCACCGCATTATAGGAAGGATGTGGAAGCATTGGAAAGGGTGCAGAGGATATTTACCAGGATGTTTCCTGGTATGGAGGGAAGGTCTTATGAGGAAAGGCTGAGGGACTTGAGGCTGTTTTTGTTAGAGAGAAGAAGGTTAAGAGGTGACTTAGTAGAGACATACAAGATGATCAGAGGATTAGATAGGGTGGACAGTGGGAGCCTTTTTCCTCGGATGGTGATGGCTAGCACGAGGGGACATAGCTTTAAATTGAGGGGTGATAGATATAGGACAGATGTCAGAGGTACGTTCTTTACTCAGAGAGTAGTAAGGGTGTGGAATGCCCTGCCTGCAAAAGTAGTAGACTCGCCACCTTTAAGGGCATTTAAATGGTCATTGGATAAACATACGGATGATAATGGAATAGTTCAGGTTAGATGGGCTTCAGATTGGTTTCACAGGTCGGCGCAACATCGAGGGCCGAAGGGGCTGTACTGCACTGTAATGTTCTATGTTCTATGTTCTATGACTGTAGGAAAAGAGATAATCAGCCAGGGATTACTAAGAAGATAAAGGAGAGTATCAAATTGAAAGCTAATGCATATAAAGTGGCAAAGATTAATGGGAAACTACTGGATTGGGAAATCTTTAAAAGTCAACAGAATGTGGTGTATGTGGATTTCCAGAAGGCTTTCGATAAGGTGCCACACAAAAGGCTGCTGCATTAGATAACAGGTAAAGTATGAGCATGGATAGAAGATTGGTTAACTAACAGAAAGCAAAGAGTGGGATAAATTGGTGCTTTTCTGGTTGGCAATCAGTAGCTAGTGGCATGCCTCAGGAATCAGTGTTGGAATTGTAGTGGTTTAGAATTTACATAGATGATTTGGAGTTGGGGGCCAAGCATAGTGTGTCAAAGTATGCAGATGACACTAAGATGAGTGGAAAAGCAAAGTGTGCAGAGGACACAAAGTCTGTAGACAGGCATAGATAGGTTAAGTGAGTGGGCAAAGGTCTGGCAGATGGAGTACAACGTTGGAAAATGCGAGGTCATCCATTTTGGTCAGAATAACAGCAAAATGGACTATTATTTAACTACAGTGAAAAATTGCAACATGCTGCTGTGCAGAGGGATCTGGGTGTCCTTGTACATGATTCACCAAAAAAAAATGGTTTGCAGGTGCAGCAGGTAATTAAGAAGGCAAATGGAATATTGTCCTTCATTGCTAGAGGGATGGAGTTTAAAAACAGGGATGTTTATGCTACAGCTGTATAGGGTGCTGGTGAGGCCACACCTGCAGTACCATGTACAGTTTGTTCTCCTTATTTGCTGAAGGATGTAGCGGCACTGGAGGGGATGCAGAGGAGGTTCACTAGGTTGATTCCAAAGTTGAGGGGGTAGGTTTATGAGGAGATATTGATACAGTGGGACTATACAATTGGAAGTTAGAAGAATGAGGGGGATCTTGTGGAAATGTATGCAATTATGAAGGAAATAGATAGAATTAGGGAGGCTGTTTCCACTTGCAGGTGAAACTAGAACTATGGGGTACAGCCTCAAAATAAAGGGAAACAGATTTAGGACTGAGTTGAGGAGGAACTTCTTCAACCAAAAGTTGTGAATCTGTGGAATTCCCTGCCCAGTGAAGCGGTTGAGGCTATCTCATTGAATGTTTTTAAGGCGAAGATAGATAGATTTTTGAACAGAAAAGGAATTAAGGGTTATGGAAAGCAGGCGGGTAAGTGGAACTGACTCCACAAAAAGATCAGCAGTGATCTTATTGAATAGTGGAGCAGGCTCAAGGGGCCAGATGGCCTACTCCTGCTCTTACTTTTTATGTTCTTGTACGACAAATAGTGTTTGTTAATTCATCAAATGCCTTCTAGAGTTCTACTTTCTCTCATTTCATTTTGTCTGTAAAGATGAAGCTGTTTTTAAAAAAGTAAAGAGAACCCACCTGATCGCGATACAAGATTCGATTCACTGGACAGACAACACAGGCTGTACCAGCGCCAAAAACCTCGTCCACTCGATTCTCTTGCAGCCCTTTAATCAGTTCAGCCATTGTTATCCCTCGTTCTGAAACTTTAAACTCACCCTGGAAATAAAGACAAGAGCTTAATGAAGCTGGAACCTGAGGCTAGTCTGTGACTTGTCCTAACCTGCTATAAATGTTCATTCACCAAAGTGAACATCCTGTAGTTTCCTACATAACATGACTGTGTTACACAACATAACTGCAGTTTATGAAGAAGACCTACCACTATCCTGTCAGGCCAACTGGGGATGGGTAACTGCTGAACTTGTCAGCAACATCCCCAAATAAAGAAAATACCAATTTGTATCTTGGCTTAAAAGTGAAGCCTACTTAGTTAAGTTACATCCCAAAAATGATTATTTTCTCCTCATTGGCAGGGAGCAGAGGGAGGGACTGAGATTATGAGGGTTTTGAGGGAAACGTGTGCAGCAGCTGCTAATTTCAAACATTGAAGATCCAGAAGAACTTGGTTTACAAGTCAGGGTTGCTTAGTCCAATGATGCCGACCTGGAGAGTTAACTATTACCATTTTTAAAACAGTCAATTTTCTTTGAAACTGTATACTCTTCACACTCATAGCCCATGTAAAATAAACCAGGGCATTGCTCTCAAATGTTATTTTTCAATTTGCCTTCCAATAGGAGAAAATGATTCTGTTATATAATATAAAAACAAAGTGCTGGAGAAACTCAGCAGGTCTGGTAGCATCTGTGGAGACAGAAACAGTGTCAATGATTTTGAGTCTAATATGACTCATACTAGAGCCAAAATGTTAACACATTCTCCCCGTGTCTGCATGGGTGTCTTCCGGTTTCCTCCCACAGCCCAAAGATGTGCAGGGTACGTGGATTGGCCATGCTAAATTGTCCATATAGTGTTCAGGGATAGATAGATGAGGTGGGTTATAGGGCGGTGGGTGCGGTCTGGGTGGGATGCTGTGAGGGTCAGTGTGGGCTTGTTGGGCCAAAGGGCCTGTCCCCACACTGTAGGGATTCTATGAATATTTGACATTTCCTCCCTCTGTTTCAGACCTGCAGCATCCACTGTATTTCGCCTTTGTTTGAGTGCAAGATAATGTTATCCAGTATACACGTTATTGCCCAAGATCATATTATTGTTTGACTAGAGGATACAAGGACTTGTCATGCTGAACACAACAGAGACCAAAAACATGCTCACAGAAACATTAATTGTATAATCCTATTAAGAATCTAATGTTGTACATGCACCCTGAAATAACTGCACAGAGGCCAATATCCCATCAGCAAGTCATCCTTTATTTACTTGTGCACAGCACACTGGCTGCAACCAACCAGCTCAGAGTCAGTTCCCTTAATCAAGGAGATTCGAAGTCCCCTGTTAATATTGGTTGGCCAGGGCTTCCTGATTGATGTTGTTAATCTCAGCCAATCAAGGACCTCATACTCCACCTGGTTCCAATCACTACCCATCGCTTCCATTGACATTTTGAAGCAGGCTGGGAGCAAGTGGGCACTCTGCTCATTTGCTGCCTAATCCCATTTCTCAGCAGCATGTGACACATTCAGAAAGCCAGGAAGCAGTCTAAATTAAGAGAGCAATAATCCAAAATCAGCAATAGAATCCCACGCTATTTGTAACAGATGTATTTTTAAAAACAAATAATCGTTTATGGGATATAGTCATCATTGGTAAGGCCAGTATTTGGTGCTTATCCCTTTCAACTGAGCAGCTTCCAAGGCCAGTTTAGAGGACATTTAAGAGTTAACCAAGTTGATGTCAGTCTGGAATCATATGTAGATTAGACTAGGTAAGAACAGCAGATTTCCTTCCCTAAGAGACATCAGTGAACCAGATGGGCTTTGATAGTTTTATGGTCACCATTACCAAGACTAGCTTCAGTTCCAGATTTATTAATTGAATATAAGATCTATCAGCTTCTGAGATGGGATTTGAACCAGTGACCCCAGAACATTAGCCCACACCTCCGATTATAAGGGACAGTGGCTACTGGTAAAGTATTTCATATTCATAGAAAAGAATATCAAATAAAGATCTGTTCCCAACTTACCCACTGACGAGCCAAGTCCAACAAACTCTGCCTTGTGACTCCTGGGAGGATTGTACCATCCAATGGAGGAGTGAGCAACTCCACGTCTGAGGAGAGAAATGTGGAATCCTTTAACAAGCTAGAAAATCAAATTTACCGGCCAAACATCATTCAACAAGTGTGACTCATAGATAAAGAGCTCTCACTGACCATAATTTTACTGCGTGTTTGAAACTAGGGAGCTTTCATGGGCTAACACTACACTTAAAATTTGCAACTTGTTGGTCATTATTGAGAAACACAGGTTAAAAGTCAAGATCCATTGAGTAGGACAGCTGACAATAACACAAAGAGATAAAGAGAAGCAGAAATTGACATTGGATGATGTCAAGCTTGGGCTTTCAGAAGTGTGAAAATGTAAACCATGTGGTTTTACTGTTAGTAGAATAGGGTATCTTAATGCATTTTAACATGTCAATGCCAGCACGTTGAGTGAGGAGCTGGAATTGCCATGTCACCTACCGCCTTGCTCATTCTTCCAATAAATGAAGATGTTCATAGTTCCCACTTCTGTGAGCTCATGCTCGTCTCCGTACAGCCACAGAACCTGCTGACAGCCTTGTTTCTGGGCCTCATTCTGAACATATATCGTAGGACCATAATTTCTAGGTAGCGAGGAAATGAGAAGAAAATTATGTCAGATGTTCACACCTTCAAGTGAGGAAATTTTTCAAAAATGTTAACAGCATAAAATGCAACAGGCTGAGAGTTGGAATGGATTTGGTTGTTACATTTGCATTGAAATATCACCCAACAAACAGCAGTCTTCAAAATCAGAATAATAATAACTGAATCACTTTAACCATTAAGGTTAACTATTTACTCCTGAACAGAAGAAATCAGAGAAGTGGACTATTTGGCCCCTCAAGCCTGCTCTACCATTCAATAACATCTTGGCTGATCTGACTGTGCTCTTAAAGTCCACTTTCCTGTCTACATCCTTATAAACTTTGGCTCTTTTGTACTTCAAAGTCTGTCTGACTCAACCTGAAATATAATCAACGGGTTGATTTCCACAGCTCTGTGGGGACTGAATTCCAAAGTTTACAATGTCTCAGAGAAGAAATTCCTACGCATCGTCTTTTCAAATGGGAGACTCATTATTTTGAAACTATAACCCCTCTGAATCAGGGATTAAAAGCTTGTCTAATGAAGCCCATGTAATCATTGTCAATTGTTGCAAAACCCATCTGGTTCACTGATGTCCTTTAAAGGAAGGAAATCTGCTGTCCTTACCTGGACAGACCTACAAATGACTTCAGTAAAGACATCAAGATGTAGAATCAGTTTGGGTAGAAATTAGCAACACAAGTCAGAAGCTGTGTGTGAGGATGGTACAGTAATAATAATAGAATGGCATTTACAGGAAAAAAATAGTAGGGGCCTGTGAGAAAGGTACTAAAAAATCATGGGTGTTTTCAATCTTCTTATAAATTAGGCAAATCAAATTGGCAAAGTAGCCATTTGAGTGTTTTTGGGACACTTTCTTGGACCAGCTCATTCTAGAGCGAACCAGGGAGTAGGCTATACTAGATCCAATAATGCGAAATGAGATAGAATTAATGATCCCACAGTGAAGGGGAAGGAAGCTGTGTCATATATGGATGAATATCACATTCAGTTTGAGGAAGAGAATACTGGATTGAAGACTAGTGTTTTAAACTTAAGGAAGGGCAAATTCAAGGGCATGAAGACAGAGTTGACTTATGCAAATTGAGAAATTAGGCTACGAGATAGATCCCCAGAGATGCAGTGCAGACATTTAGGGAGATTTTTCAGAAGACTCGGACAAGGTATTTTTCAGTGAGAAAGAAAGACTCCAAGGAAAATCCATGACTAAGCACAAGAGTATGTAAAGTGTTAGTTGACTAGAAACTATGTCTGGGAAATAATAATGGAAAATAAAGAAATGGTACATGAATTGAACAGATATTTTCGGTCTGTCTTTACTGTAGAGTATATAAATAATATCCCAGAAATAATTGTCAATCAGGAACTGAAGGGGAGGGACAAAATCACAAGTTTCTGGAAAAGCTCAGCAGGTCTGTCAGCATCTGTGAAGAAAAAGTTAGAGTTAACGTTTCGGGTCTGGTGACCCTTTCTCTGAAAGGGAGGGAAGTAGTTTAAAACAATCACATTCATCAGGAGAACGGTACTGATAAAATTATGAGAACTGAAGGCTAACAAATTCCCATGTCAAGAATAGGAGCAGAATTAAGCCATTTGGCCCATCGAGTCTGCTCCGGCATTTAATCATAGCTGATATGCTTCTCAATTCCATTCTTGTGCATCCTTGATCTCCTTACTAATCAAGATCCAATCTATCTCTGTCTTAAATGCAATGACCTGGCCTCCACAGTCTCCTGCAACAATGGGTTCTACAGTTTTCCACCCTCTGGCTGAAGAAGTTCCTCCTCATCTCAGTCTAAAGGGTTGTCCCTTCAGTCTGAGGCCATGCCCTTGGTCCTCGTCTTTCCTACTAGTGGAAACATTTTCTCCACATCCACTCTACCCAGGCGTCTCAGTATTCTGCAAGTTTCAATGAGATCCTCTCTCATCCTTGTAAACTCCATCCAGTACAGACCCAGAGTCCTCAACCACTTGTCACATGACAAGCCCGTCATCCCCAGGATCATTCTTGTTCATCTCCTGTGGACCCCTTCCGATGCCAACACATCCTTCCTTAGAGAGTGGGCCCTAAACTGCTCACAATAGAGCCTTATACAGCCTCAGCAGTACATCTCTATTCTTGTATTCTGGTTCCAATTGGCTTCACCCTCCAGTTTTAAAAGAAGCAGCTGATGAGATAGTAAGTGTATTGGTTTCAATTTTTCAAATTTCCCTAGCTTCTGGAGATAGGAGACTAGTGAATGCCATTCTTTTACTCAAGAAAGGAGGGAGACAGAAAGAAGTAAACTACAGGGGAGTTAGTTTCACATTTGTCACAGGGAAAATGCCAGAAAATGCCAGAATCTTCCACTGAGGACAAAACGAGGCATTTTGAAAATCTCAAGGCATGGTGTCAATGTGATTTTGTGAAGGAAAAGTCTGTTTGACTAACTTTTTGGAGTTATTTGAAGAAGTAACAAACAATTTGGATTGAGGGGGTACCGGTTAATGTAGTGTACTTAATTTTTAAAAAAAGTTTTCTATGCAAATTAGGGGTTCATGTTGTAGGGGGTGATATAATAGAGTATTGATTAATTAACAGGAAATAGAGAATAAGCATAAATTATAATTTTTTGGTTGCCAAGATGCGACAAATAGTGTGACACAGGGATCAAGTGCTGAAGCCTCAACTATTGACAATTTATATCAATATGTAGGAAGGGACTGAATTCTTGGTTACTAACTTTGGAGATGACAGAAACAGTGTCTGGAAAATAAGCTGTGAAGCATACCTAAGGAGCCTGAAAAGTGATACAGATAGGTTAAGTGAACATGCAAAAAGTTTGGCAAATAAACTGTCATCCCTCAATCGAGGGGGATTGCAGAGCTCAGAGGGATCTGGAGGCTGTGGCACATGAATCACAAAGTTAGTATGTCAGTACAAGTGAACAAGAAAACAAAGTACATGGAATGTTGTTGAAATGTGACAGTTGTCTAGGCCATTGGTGAATCCACAACTGGAGTAGTGTGTATAGTTTGATTTCCTTATTTAAGGAAAGTCTTAAAAGCAGTCAGAGAAGGTTCAGTCAACCGATAACTGGCTTGGGAGCCATGAGTCCTCCTTCATAAAACAATGCTAACTTCGCTTGGTTGTATTATAAATGTTCTGTACTAGTTTGTCCCCTCTGACTGCTGTCATATGTATCCTCAGTTTAGTTGGTGACGAGCTGCATTAAAACTCATCCAGCTGAGACTGCAAGCAAGCTCAGATAACTGGCCATACTAGAAAATGTAGGTGATGTGTCAGGCTTGAGAATGGTAAATTTAGTTACTGGGTTGGTAACTGAATATTAGAAATAAAGCTAACACTAGGAACCATCTCTCCTGATGATGCCAGCACCTCTTGACAGTGACCTCAAATATAGAGCAAGTGCTGGCATTTTTTGAGAATTATGTTATATCACCAAATCCAATGCTCACCTGACACTAATATAGAACTATCCAGTGAGATCTGAATAATGGACCCTTGTATTTTTCCTAACCCAGCATCGTGGAAGACAGGCTAGGAATCAAACCTGGAAATTCTAAGGTCCTGGTCACAATAGGGTGCGTCTTACCTGTTCGACCATGTACAACGTGGCATTCTCTCCACCATACACTGCGAAACAATTTTTAACAAATTACATCTGAAAATCATCTTCACGCATTCAACATCACTTACCCTCCCATTTTGCAGTCACCTACGCCGCCTTTCCAAGCACGTACATATTTGGGATCAGCAAGCAATGAGACGGGGTTGAAACTTCCTGTGGCAAAGTAGGGTCCAACAGGCCCAACGATAACAAAGAGTAGGGCATGATCAGCTCGAGACACCCCAAGGGAAGGCTGGGAAAAAACGTATATATGAAAATGTGAAAGCCTGCTCCACTCCGTGCAGCATCATGTCAAATGCTTAATGAGAACTGCTTGCTGTAATACTCCCCTGAAAATGGACAGCAATAACTTGCTGACCAGATGCACATCATCAGGAATGAGAACTACATCTGGGACTTAAAACATCAGCTGAGTATTTGTGTAGCAGAGAGGGCTAAGAATTTGAGAATGTGGTTACATACAGCACTGGCGAGTAAACAAGAGATAAGGAAACTCAGATTAGGGCTTGTATTAAAAGGACACAGGATAAGTTTAGAGAAAATTATTTTAAAACAAAGGAATGTACTACCACAATCAGATCTGAAGCAGGGACAATGTAAGTTATTTAGAGGGAAATGGACAAGCAATAGTTTGGATTTATATACTGCATTTCATTGAAGTGCTCCTTGGTACTTCACATGGCAGAAAGCAGCAAGTGAGATTGGGAGGATTTGGGCAACGTATTTAAAATGAGTTCAAAACTATCCGTAGAAGGGAATCTTTTAAAGGCAGGAAGAAAATGAGACTAAAATTATCCAGAGCACAGAAAAGAGAAAATAGGTTTAAAGTTGGTAGCTCTGGTGTGGAGCCAGTACTGTCACAAAGACAGCTGCGCAAATCACCCCAGTCTATTCTGAAGTTTCTGTGATTTCAGCCACCAGGAGGAAGATCCTGTGACATAGAAGCATCTAGAGAATGATCAGTTGCCATGAACTTGTTTCTGTAGGGTTAGCCCTTCAGTGCACGCATAACACTGCCAGGCAAATCCGGTAAACAACATTCTAGACATAATCTAGGTTAAAAAAATGAAAAATAAAGGCTTCACACCTCCGTTCCAATGAAAGTGGGCCGGATGTAGAGACTTGCTGCATGAGAATATGGGACCCATTCTCTGTCAACTTCAATTAGCTTTCGGATGCACTCCACCAGCTCTTCTTTGTCAAAGCCCTAAAATACAGACAAGCTTCAGAAACTCTGACAACGCAGAACATCTATGATCTTGAGGGCAGCTTAACGAGAGCATCATTTCGGAACAACACGTACAATTACATTAGATCAGAAATGTGCATTCTGAGAAAGATCAGCCACAAGAATGGATGCTGGATTAGAAAAAAAAACACCATGCCTCTGGGAGTTTCTGAAAATAGAATTAAAATATATTGTCATTACATTATAAATGGAGTTTTTCCTTCCTACTCACGGACTTGATCTGGAACAGGCAAACAGCCAAAAATTGTGTCTTAGTTTATTTTTACACTTGTGTCAATGGAGCGTACCACCATTAGTGTGTGCAAATGGTGGCACATACTCTGAATGTGCAAATTGAAAGCCACATTTAGCAAATAACAAGTCGGGGTGGATTTCAGTAATGTATTGTATTGCAACCAGAAAAGGAGTGAGGCATTTAATTCATTAAAGGGAGTTCAGGGTAGAAGGTAAATAGGAGTTCAGTTGTTTTTGTTTTTCCCAAATATTTTCAAACTCAGAAATTGATTCTTACTCTGCTACAGGAGGAGCTGGTTAGTGAGTGATTTTCTGGTAAGTTACTAAAGTGTATTCTATTCTTAAGGTTCAGCATAGTATAGCAATTGATGGTTGGTGGTATTGATTTTATTCAATTTTATATTGAGTTGTAAATAGTTAAGTATAACACATGAAGAATGGCAGGATAGGTGATGTACTGCACATGCAGCATGGAAGAGGTCCTGGATACCAGTTTGGCCCAGAACAAACATGTTTGTGACAAGTGTTTGAAGATCGATCAGCTTCGGCTCAGACTTTCTGAGCTGGATGCTGAACTATAGTCAATACAATGCAGCAGAGAAGGGTAAGGCTACCTGGATTCTTTGTACCAGGAGGCAGTCATACCAGTTGGGTTGGGTTATCAGATTTGGTCAGTGTTCAGCAACAGGAGAGTGTGACTGTGAGTGAGGCAGATGAGGGGATCCAGAGAGCAGGAGCACAGGAACCTCAGCTTTTGCAACCGTCCAAAAAGTTTGAGGCTCTGCAGGGAGCTAAGCCAACTGACCAACGACAACGATATAGGAAACCATGCAAAAGGAGGGATTAAGAAGGAATGTAGTGGTATTTGGGAACAGCATAGTGCGGGAGATTGACACTTGTTTATTACAGGCAAGAATATGAGTCCAGATGGCAATGTTGCCTGCCTGATGATAGGGTTCAGAACATCTGCTCAGGGCAGGGCTGGACAGAAACTTGCAGGTTTTTTTTCTGGCAGAGGGGGCAGGAGGAGAAGGAAGGGAAGAGAGAGGGAGACAGAGAATCCAGTTGTCAAGGTAGTGACCAACAACATAGACAGGCTATGGAAGAGGTTCTGCATTGGCAGTATGAGGACCTAGGCACCAAAATAAAAGGCAGGACATCAAAGGGCATAACCTCTGCATTTTGGTCTCAGTCACATGTTAACTGGCAAAGGGCAAATCAGATTAGAGGGATGATCATGTGGCTCAAAGATTGGGGTCATAGGGATGGGTTTTGGTTCATGAGATACCAGCATCAACCGTGGAGAAAGCAGGAGCTGTACTGATGGAACGGTCTTCATTTGACTCATGTAGGCACTGGTATTCGTGCCAAGTGCATAACTAGGGAAGTAGAGTGGATTTTAAATTGAACAGTGGAATCAAATTTGGGAAGATGTGGTAAACAGTGGGAAGGGATCAAATTGGGGAAGATGTGGTAAATCAGAGTAGAGTCAAGGCGAAAGAGAAAGATATTAATATGCGAAATGATAAACTAGTCATGACGGGAAGGGATAGAGAGTTTGAATCAAAGAGTAAACCAACAGATAGGACTAGAGCTTACATAAAGGGCAAAAGAATGAAACTAAAGGCTCTATGTGAATGCACATAACCTTCAAAACAAAACAGGTGACCTGAGATTGAAAACAGAAATAAAGAAGTGTGAACTTCTAGCTATCAGAGACATAGTTGTGGATTGATAAGGATTGGGACCTTGAAGGAATGTCAGGAAATTAGGAAAAGGTAGCGGTGTGGCTCTGGTAGTTAATAATGGCATTAAAACAATCAAAAGGGCTGATTTAAGTTCAGGAAACCAAGATGTGGAAGCATTTTGGGTACAAATGAGAAGTAATCAATTATAGAATCCCTATCACATGGAAGCCGGCCATTTGGCTGATTGAGTCCACACTGTCCCTCTGAAGAGCATCCCATCCCCCTTATCCCCATAACCCTGCACTGCCTATAGCTCAGCCACCCAGCCAGCACATCCCTGGACACTATGGGTAATTTAGCATGGCCAATCCACATAACCCGCACATCTTTGGACTGTGGGAGGAAGCCGGAACACCCAGAGGAAACCCATGCAGACATAGGGAGAATGTGCAAACTCCACACAGTCAGATGCCTGAGGTGGAATTGAACATGGGTCGCTGGCGCTGTGAGGCAGAAATGCTAACCACTGAGCCATGCCTGTGAGAAGTTATTTGTGGTAGTGGTGTATAGGCCTCCCTAATAGAAACCACATAGTAGCTTGGAGTTTAAAGAAAGAAATAGCAAGGGCTTCACAGAAAGGCAGTGATAATCATGGAAGATTTTAATTTACATATGAATTGGAAAAGTCATGCAGGCAAAGGAGCCTAGATGAGGAGCTCAGATAATATTTTCAGGATAGCTTCAAAGAACAGCATATTCTGGAACCAACCAGGGATCAGACTATGCTAGAGATAACACAGCGTAGAGCTGGAGGAACACAGCAGGCCAGGCAGCATCAGAGGAGCAGAGAAAAGTCAGCTTTCCTGTTGTTTTCCTCCTGCTCCACACTGTGTTATATCAGACTATGCTAGACTTGGTTTTGTGCAATGAGTTGAGTTAATCAGTGAAGGCACCCCTAGGTAATAGCAATATGATTGAATTTTACATTCAGTTTGAAGGAGAGACGAGTGGATAAAACACACTCTTTAAAAATTTAAACAAGGGTAATTATGAGGGCATGAAAGCTGACTAAAGTGAATTTGCAAATGTGGTTAAAAGTCAATAGAGTGGTAGATAGTTAAGAGGCTATTTCAGAATACACAGAGTAGATACGTTCCAAAAACTAAGAAACATCCCAACGAACAGACCCAACAGCCATGGTTAAACAAGTAAAGGACAAATACAGAATCAAACTTAAAGAAAGAGCATATAATTATGTAAAGCTAGGTGGTATGTCAGAAGATTGGATGGAATTTTAAAAACAGCAAAGAATGACCAAAAACGCAATAAAGGGTGGAAAAAGTACAAAAGAAAACTCATCAGAAATATAAAAACAGATGGTAAGAGTTTCTATAATTATTTACAGAAGAATTATCAAAGTGAGAATTGGTCCTCTAGAAAGTGTCACTAAGAATTAATAATATAAGGAAATGGCAGATTAATTGAACTGATTCTTTGCGTCAGTCTTCACTATAGTTATTTTAATCAACTTGTTGGACATGCCGTGATAAATCTCCAGGGCAGGTGGGACTTTAACCTGGATCTTCTGGCTCAGAGCTGGGCACACTACTATTATACCACAAGAGGCTCAGTCTTCATAACAGAACATACAAATAACCTTCCAGCGGCTGAAATGGAAAGGAGGGAGGAACTTAGGAAACACACAATCACCAGGGAAATGATACGGAGTACACTACTGGAACAGCAGGCTGACAAGCGCCTGGGTCCTGATGGGTCTTAAAAGAAGTGACTAGTGAGATAGTTGTTGAATTTCCCAAAACCCCCTTAATTTGTGAAAGGTGCCATGAGATTGGAAAGTAATAAATGCAACTCCTTTATTCAAAAAGGTAGAGAGACAGAAAGCAGGAAAATAGTGGCCAGTGGCTTAACATCTCTCATAGGGTAAATGTTAATAGTTATTATTAAAAAGAAGTTGTAGCAGGGCACATTTATAAGTTCAAGGTAATCGGACAAAGTCAACATGGTTTTATAAACAGAAATCACGTTTGACCAGTCTACTGGAGTTCTTTGAGAAGGTAAGACCTGCTGTGGATAAAGGGGAACTTGTGATTGTACTCTACTTCGATTTCAGACGGCATCTGATGAAGTGGCACATCTAAGGTTATGGTGGTGTGCAACAAGGATTAATGCTGGATTTGATCCTAGATCTAACCATTTACAACATACATAAATGACTTAGATGAAGGGATGGAATATGTATTTATCGCATTTGCTGAGGATTTGAAGCTTGGTAGAAAAGTCATTTGTGAAGAAATAAGGAGCTTACAAAGGGATGTGGATAGGTTAAATGAGTGGGCAAGGATAGTATAATGTAGGAAATTGTTTAACTATCCATTTTGGCACGAAGAATAAAAAGAAGCGTATATCTGAATGGTGAGAGATTGCAGATCTCCGAGACGTAGAGACAGCTGGCCTTGTCCATGAATCACAAAATGTTACTGTCTGGGTACGGCGAGTAATTAGGAAAGTAATTGAATATAAAAACAACAAAGTTATGTTTCAGTTACAGAGATAGTAGGAACTGCCGATGCTGGAGAATCTGAAATAACAAGGTGTAGAGCTGGATGAACACAGCAGGTCAAGCAGCATCTGAGGAGCAGGAAAGCTGACGTTTCGGGACTAGACCCTTCTTCAGAAAATTTTCCGAAGAAGGGTCTAGACCCAAAACGTCAGCTTTCCTGCTCCTCTGATGCTGCTTGGCCTGCTGTGTTCATCCAGTTCTACACCTTGTTATCTCGATGTTTCAGTTATACAGGGCACTGTGAGACCGCATCTGTGTACAGCATTGGTCTCCTCATTTAAGGAAGAATGTAAATACATTGGAAGCAGTTCAATGAAATTTTACCAGACTAATACATGGAATGGGGGTGGTGTCTCATGAGAAAGGATTGGAGGTGCTAGGATTGTAATCTGCTGGAGTTTAGAACAGTAAGAGGTGACTTCATGAAACATGTAAGATCCTGAAAGGACTGACAGGAAGGATGTGGAGAGGATGTTTCTTTTTATGGGAGACTCTAAAACTCGGTGATCACTGTTTAAAATTCAGAAGTTGTACATTTTAAACATAGATTAGGTAAATTTCTTTTCCCCTCAGCGTGAGTGACTCTTTGGAACTCTCTTCCTGCAAAGCTGGTGGAAACAAAAGGCATAGTCAAAGTCACAGTCAGGTTTAAGCAGATTCTTGTTCAACAAAGGGGCGCAAGATTACCAGGGACAGGTGGGAACATGGATTTGAGTTTACAGTTAGATCAACTATAATATTATTGAATTTGTGGAGCAAGTTCAAGGAGTCGAATGGATGACTCCTGTTCCTAATTCATATGTTCATGCGTGAGCACTTCAAGATGTTCCTGTGAGACATTTTAAGGCACTGTATAAACTTATATCTGTCTTTTTCATTCTTTATGCAATCAATGTACAACACGTTGAAATGTCCTTTGTCCTCCGTACCGGCAGACACGCTCGGAGTGCTGATCGATGCATTCGTTCCATGTTCAAATCCGGTCGGAACATGCGAATCTTGTTGTCTACCCCTCGGAAAGCTTTCATACCTTCAAACAGCTTTTGGACATAAAAAGCAATGATAAAGATATTTGAGTTCAAACTGTAGTTATTCACCCAAGAACACAAAGTTAAATTAATTACACCTAATTATTTCATTTTCATTTCCTTCCAGAACCCCAATACCAAGTAGAATGTGTGAGCAACTTCTCTGCAGGACAGTGAATAGTGGCGAAGCAGTGGGCAATGACACAGAGTCTACAGTTCCTTTGCAGAGAGTGCAGACAGCGAACTGAATTTCCACTCGGATTTATTTGTGACTGTTAGGATTGTAAAAGCCACAGTTAGAGGAACGCTGCATATGTTTCATCATCTTTTCCTGTTCTGAAGCCAAGAGGACAAGTGATCCAGAGGTTAGTTTAAAAAGATGTGGAGCTGCAAAAGTGCAGCAGGTTAGGCAGCATCTGAGGAGTAGGAAAGTCAGCGTTTCAGGTCAGAACCCTTCGTTGACTTTCCTGCTTCTCAGATGCTGTCTGACCTGCTGTGCTTTTCCAGCTCCACGTTTTTTGACTCTAGCTTCCAGCAGCTGCAGACCATTCTGTCTCCAACATTAGTTTCTCTGATTGCCCTTCCCTCTCGAACTCTGCTAAATGTTTCATTAAGGGTGCATGCTGAAATTGACATGCAAGGGCTTATAAGAGTGGATTCAGGCTACAGTACTGATTGTTTAAGTTACTGTTTCACAACTTTAGAGGCCATTGTGAGCTGGTTGGGAATTGAGGTTGTAATTAGTAGCATTGACATCAGTCATCCAGTTTGTCAATTATCCTAAAATTAAAGGGATAGAAGAGGACACTTGCTGAAAACCATTCTGCATGTTAAAAATGGCTAATATACGGATCAGCTACAAAGATAGCAGAAACATAGCATTACAGCTTTACATTCTAAGCCCAAATGATTAATGGTCCTGGTAGAAAGGATAAGAAAACAGAAACAGTTGTGAATAATTAGCAGTTAAACGTCTGAAAGAAATAAAGATCCACTGTTGTGCATATCAACCCTTCGTCAAATTGGAAATACAAGTAGAAAACGAGAACAGAAGGGGAGATCAACAGGAAAATGTCAAGAGTCAGGTGTATTATCACAAAGTAGCAGTTAACAGGTCTAATAATTTCTGAATTATTATTAAAAATAATTACTATAAAGAAGGGGAAAACTGCCGATCATAACTTAAACATTATCTTTGTCAGCTTTTAAAAAAGGGCATTAGAAAGAGAAAATGAACTAAAAAGTTCCAAAACACAAAGGAATAAATGGTAGATGGATGGGAGTTAAATAGAGCAAATTCTGAACCATTTTTCTCTTTGCAGTGCTTTGATATGAATAATGAGCTACTACCTCGAAATTTAAATTTCCCACCTCATGAGTATTGTAAAGAAAGCTTACCTCAATAGAATAATGCAGGACTGAAGTTGCTGGATGCAGTGAGAGATTTTGCAGGGGTTTGATAAGGGGCTTGTCCCATCCTTTCTCTGCACTCCATTCTATTGTTAACATATGATCTGAAAACGACTTTCCAAACACCAGGTTACTGCTGTCAGGCTTCTCCTTGGGGTGCTTAGAAATCTCAATCTGTAAATCAGTAGCCTGTATTTTAGAGAGACACAATTAGCCAGCTGTTTTCTTAAAGGTGTTGTGGTGGCATAATGACAAGCCTAACAACAAGTTATTACAAAAGAAACACCCTCTGGAAGCTGGTAATCTGAAATATATACCAGAAACACTCAGCATCTGTGAGGAGTGAAACCGAGTTAACAGTCAGATCAACGACCTTTCATCACAGCCCCAGTCAATGCAACATGATACTGTTCTGAAGTTTAAATCTGCCACTTCATGGCTACTGTCAGGACAAATTATTTCTCTGGATTGGTGCAGAGCTGGAGATTCTGCACAGGTTTCAGATGAGGTTCATCCCACCCTTTCTACATACTCCACTTCATTGTCAACACATGATTGGATGCTGAAATGAGAGAGCAGCCCATGGTCCCAATGATGCCTTTATCCCTTTTAATACATACAGTACTCCAGATTATCACACCCATGTAACACACCCATTCTGTAATAAATAACTTTGTCAATATTTCATTGCAAAAGAATAATTCAACTCGACACAAGATGCAGTGCAGGGTGTCAAGTGATTTTCTTTTATGTTTTCTGTACACACACAGTGACTGACTGAGGTCTGGGCATGTCCCTGCGTGAAAACTTGAAATGTAAATGATGTTCCTAGATGCTGATAACTGCACCTCTCCATTTCAATTCGAGAGTATCAGAGCAAAAATACCAGATAGATTTGCCAGCTTCAAAGATGGAAATATAAAGAAAGAAATTTGGAGGCTATTCAAAACGGGAATGCTGATGGAGAGATCAAACACTCTCCATTATGAGACAATTGCTTAGCCCATTAATCCACCTGTGTAGACAACGCCACATGATATAAACTGGCTTGTGATAAGAAACACCTTATTAATTCATAAAGTCAGCCTAAGGTAGGGAGTCTGCAAGACAAACATTAGACAGGAATGACATCTTGTCCAGAAAAAGGGAGAATCCTACCTCCAGGTGGATAAGTGGCGTGATTCTCTTTATCTGCACATTATATCTTTACTACAGGCCTCGATCACAACTTTAAGTGGAAAATTCAGAAATCCTCCTGATAGGGTGTAAGCCATTGTGAGTTCATCGTCAGAAATTTCCAATCTGCACTGCCTTCAGTGAACCAAAAGAGGCTCCTGAGGCCTCTCACTGCCATTGTTGAGAACCGATAACAACATTGACATTTTCAATCTGTTAGAAATTTAAGTATATGCTACATCTTTTGTAATCATCTTTCTTGCATGTGTGGATTTTGTGCGATTAATTGATCGGGTACTGTTGTGTTTACAACTTGGATGTCAAGAAAAATAAAATATTTATTCTTACTTTTAATTTAAACCTTGAGAAAGCCCATCTTATGTCTGTTCTTAAAAATCTCAGCATTCAAGGGGTAAAGGGACACTTCTTCATTAAAGCACATCTTGTTGCAGTTAGTGGAGAGATAGGAAAAGATTGAAATTATCCCACATCTCTTCCCTGTTTGAAACTGACATTCTGTGTAAATGCTAAACCAAAGTGTTTAGTTGGTTCTGCTATTCTCTCACCCACGACAACTTGCCTGTCTAACTCAGAAATTGGCCATTCAGCCCCTTGAACCTGCCCTGACATTGAGTAAGATCAAGGCTGATGTTTGATCTATTTTTGTTCTTCATCTACTGCTAATTTTACCACATTTCACCCTCCTTCACTAATGAGTTATATTTGTCAATTTTTCTCTTTTATTACACTAATCATTGTGGCATTTGTTGTCATATTTCAATAATCTTTATGGTTGTTGTGCTCACTTCATTTTTCACTGGGAGACTCCAGCACTGTCACATCTTCGTGTAAAGATTGCTCACTTAGTGTCACCGCAGCATAGCGGTAATGTTACTGGACTAGTAATGAGAGGCCTAGACTAATGCTCTGGCGACATAAATTCTAATCTCACCATGGCTGCTGGGGAATATAAATCTAATTAATTAGTAAATTTGGAATTACAAAAAAAAACTATCACAAAACCCATCTAGCTCATTAACACCTTACAGGGAAGGAAATCTGTTGCCCTTATCTGGTCTGGCACACATATGTCTTCACACCCACCATAATGTTGTTGACTCTTAAGTGCCCTTTGCAATGGTCTAGTAAGCTGCTCAGTTGTGTAAAGGTGCATCAAGTCACTATAATAACACACAAAAAATTAAACTGGCCAGACTGCTCAGCTTGAGGTGTCGGAGGTTTCGGCAGGTTCAAAAGTAGACAACACCCCAGGTCCAGATGAGTTATATTCCAGGCTGTGAGAGGTGAGGGAAGAAATTACAGGGACTCTGAGCTAAATTTTTAATTTCTCTTTGGCCACTGGGGAGGTGCCAGAAGATTGAAGGATAGCTAATGTGGTTCCACTTTTCAAGAAGTTATGGATAACCCAGGGAATTCAAGACCAGTGAGTCTCACATCAGCAGTCTGGAAACTATTGGAGAACATTTTGAAGGAGAGAATTAATCTTCACTTGGAGAGGGAAGGTTTGGTCAAGGATACTGAAAACAACAATATGTCAGAAATCACAACAGGTCAGGCAGCATCCGTGGAGACCAGGCAAGCTAACAATTCAAGTCTAGATGCTGCCTCACCTGCTGTGATTTCCAGCACTTTTTTATTTTCAGTACAGATTCCAGTATCTGCAGTAATTTGCCTCTACATTGTGTATGATCAGGGATAGTCAGGTTTGCGATGCAGAGTGATACTAACAATGTGGGTTGAATTCCTACACTGGCTGAGGTTACCATAGGGGGACTCGCCTTCTCAACCTCCCACCTCACCTGAGGTGTGGTGATCCTCAGGTTAAACCACCACCAGTTGTCTCTTTCTCTCTAATGAGAGAACAGCCGTACAGCCTGGTAATCTATGGTGACTTTACCTTTTCATAGGAAGAATGTGATTGCACTGAAGGGGGTGCAGAGGAGATTCACCAGGATGTCACCTGGGATGGAGGAGTTTAGCACTGAACAGAGGCTGGATCACCTCAGGTTTTCTTCTTTGGAGCAGACAAGGTTGTAGGGGGACCTGATAGATGTAAGCTTAATGATAAGCATTGACAGCGTGGATAGGAAGAAGCTGTTTCCCTCTTGTCGAAGGGTCAATAACAAGATGGCATAATTTTAAGGTGAAGGGCAGGAAGTTTAGAGGGGATTTGACGAAAACACTTTTTTATCAGAAAGTTGGTGGAGATCTGGAATGCACTGCCTGGCAGGGTAGTTGAGGCAGGAAACCTTACAACATTTAGAAAGTACTTCAATAGGCAATTAAAATGTCACCACATTCAAGGCTATGGGTCAAATGCTGGAAAATGAGATTTGTGTAGGTAAGGCGGTGCAGATTTGATGAACTGAAAGGCCTCTTCTGTGCTGTATGACTCTACGGCCTTAATAGAACTAACAAAGGCACATCCTGCCAAGTATTTTGACGTTCCTTTGTCAATTGCTGGATCAAAGTCTTGGAGCACCCTTCCTAAGCACACATAGCGTACCCACACCCTGCAGCGGTTCTAGAAGGCAGCTCAACACAGTTTTCTCAAGAGATATTAGGTAAGGACAATATCTTACCACATCCCACAAACTAATATAATAAAAATATGGTTGCCAAGTGCAGGGATCTATATTGCAAAACCCAAAATGTTACAAGAATAAATTTGCTACAAAATACTTCAGAACTCTATATTGTATACAGACTACTTACCTTAAACGTTGTGCTAACAGATCTCCGGGGTCCATGGTGAACATCGTGAGCTTGGAATAACTGTTGTGATAAAACCTATAAAAACAGAAGATCCTGAAATTGATATCAAGTGAAAAGACTGCACAAGCTGAATTGGCAAAATCATGAAGTATTTCTGAATAAATATTACACTTAGTAGCAGAGGGCCTCTGAGGCACAGAGATTTCAGGCACACCTTACTGCCAGATAGAAATAATTAAAGGACCATTTACACGGCTTTGCTTGTAAACTAATGGTCATCAAGTGGCTAATTTCTGGTGGTAGTGTATGGGGTTATTGAGTCTCTTGGGCTGCAAAACAATATATGATAAGATGGAAGAATTGCAATCAAATTGCTCCTGTGGCAAACCTGACAAGTTGACTCCACCATATTGCAGGGCACTGTTAAAGACTGAGCACCTCAATCCCTGGGATCTGGAAGGATATCTGGGGTTAGTATTCTGATTCACTTTACAGAGATGACAGTTACAATCCAGGAGTATCTCCATTGTGTAAAAGAAGCAAAGTATATAAAATAAACTATTGGCAACCTTTTGATCTTGGCCTGTAAGAGATAATGGAAGGTTATGGGAAACAATCAGGTCACAGAATTAAATAAAATGGCTCATCTAGAGAACAGAAAGAATATACCGTACGTTGCATATTAAACAATTTCAGTGAATTTCTTAGTATTCTTTCTTTATCTCTATGGTCATATAATTTCTTCACCAAACAAAATTGAAAATTGAGTCCAAGTACCCCATTAATGTTAGATTTTGGGAGATGGACAAAACAGGGAACAAAGACTGGAGATGGTCAAAGCTGGCAAGAAAGACAGGTCATTGACATGTTGTCCTGTAAAAATACTTGTATTCTGTTGACAAGTCAATGGATTAGCAATCGACAGAAATCCGGGTAAATACTCTGGAGCATAGAGTCAAATTGCAACAAACAGCTGGTGGAATTTAATTAAATTAACAAAGAGGAATATCCAGTAACTTCCATGTAAGAACTGATCGTCGCTGAAAACCTATCTGGCCCACTTGTAGAAGGAATTCGGCCAGCTTAATGGTCTGGCCTCCAGGTGACTCCAGACCAACAGCACTGTGGCTCAGTCTCAAGTGCCCTCCGAAATGGCCTAGCCAGCCATTCAGTTGCATTAACTGCTAGCAAGGAGAAAAGAATTGACACTGGATGAACCACCTGGGGCATTGACCTAGGCACCAGAAATGAAAATGCACAAACAGCCTTGTTAACTCTGCAAAATCCGCCTGACTAACATCTGGGGGTTAGTGCCAAAATTGAGACAGCTGTCTCACAGACTAGACAAGCAACAGCCTGACATAGTCATACTCACAGAATCATACTTTACAGACAATGCCCCAGACACCATTCTGGGATATGTCCTGTCCCAACGGAAGGCAAGAGCCAGTCAGGGTAGTGGCACCATGCGATGCAGTCAGGATGGAGTTACCCAGGGGGTCCTCAACATGGCATCAAGTCAAACATGGCCAAGGAAACCTCCTGCTATCTAACCACATACCATTCTTCCTTGGCTGATGAATCATTTTGAACACTTGGAGGAAGCACTGAGGATGGCAAGGCCACAAAATGTACTCTGGGTGGGGGATTTCAACACCCACTACCAAGAGTGGCTCAGTAGCAGCACTACCGATTGAGCTAGTCAGGTCCTAAAGGACATAGCAGCTAGACTGGGTCTGCGGCAGGTGGTGAGGGAACCAACAAGAGGGAAAAACGTACTTGACCTCATCCTTACCAATCTGCCAGCTGTAGTTACATCTGTCCATGACAGTATCGGTAAGAGTGACCATCGCACGTCCTTGTGGAGATAAAATCCCACCTTCACATTGAGAACAACCTCCATCGTGTTGTGTGGCACTATCACGGTGCTAAATGGGACAGACTTCACACAGATCTAGCAACTCAAGACTGGGCATCCATGCGGCGCTGTGGGCCATCAACAACAGCAGAATTGTACTCCAGCACAATCTGTAACCTCATGGCCCAGCATATCCCCCACTCAACCATTACCATCAAGCCAGGGGATCAACCCTGGTTCAATGGAGAGTGCAGGATGGTATGCCAGGAGCTGCACCAGGCATACCTAAAAATGAGGTGTCAACCTGGTGCAGCTACAAAATAAAAGACTACATGTGTATCAAACACTTAAATAGTAAGTAATAGATACAGTTAAGTAATCTCACAACCAACAGATCAGATCTGAGCTCTGCAGTCCTGCCACATCCAGTCGTGAATGGTGGTGAACATTTAAACAACTCACTGGAGGAGGCGGCTCCACAAATAGTCCCATCGTCAATGACAAGGGAACCCAGTATGTCAGTGCAAAAGATAAGGCTGAAACATTTGCAACAACCTCCAGCCAGAAGTGCCAAGTGGATGATCCATTTAGGCCTCCTCCAGTGGTCCCAGCATTACAGATTCCAACCTTCAGCCAATTGATTCACTCCACATGATATCAAGAAAAAGCTGAAAGCACTGGGTATTGCAAACGCTTGGGACACTGGTCACGTTCCAGAACTTGCTGCTCCCCTAGCCAATCTGTTCCAGCACAACTACAACACTGGCATTTGCCTGACAATGGAAAATTGCCCAGGTATGTCCTGTACAAAAATGGCAGAACAAATCCAACCCAGCCAATTACTGTCCCGTCAGCCCACTCTCAATCATCAGTAAAGTAATGGAAGGTGACATCAACAGTGCTATCAAGCAGCATTGCTCAGTGATAACCTGTTCAGTGACATCCAGTTGGAGTTCCACCAGGGCCATTCAGCTTCTGACCTCATTACAGCCTTGGTTCAACATTAGACAAAAAAGGCGAATCCCAGAGGTGAAGAGAGAGTGACTGCCTTTGACATCAAGGCCACATTTGAGTGAATATTGCATGAAGGAGCTTCAGGAAGCTCACAGTGTGATATGAAGTGCCTTAAACATTAACTATAACAGCTGGGAGTCACAACTGGAAAAACAGGGAGCTGACATGTATTCCAAAATCAGCAGAAACATCAACTTGGCTACAAATCGAACATCAAAAACAACAACCCACATGCTTTTGGCAGAACCTGTTTGTCAAGGACTAGCCTTAATAACCATCTGTAAAGGTAAACCAAAGGAGAGCCACCCTCTCCCGAAATAGATTATCAGAGATCAAACAATGTCAACAACCTTACTCTTAAATCATCTGTGGGCTGTCACTGTACTCAAAATGACACCATATTTGCTGCATAATAACAACCCTTGAACGTCAAAATAATATGCTATTTAAGAGGCATTTCTGACAGCCAATTCAACATTCCCTTTCTAAGCAGCACAACATCATGCAGAAATTGCAGTGTTGTGAAAAATTTTGGGCAAGAAGATAATAATGACACGATCACAACTGCAATGTGAACCATATTTGAGCAAGCACCAAGCAGCTGACATTGTATTTTAAAATCTCTTCTAATGATCAATGTAGTAAAACCAGCCAGCAGAACACTCCTCATTAAAGTTGGCTACATTAGTCCGAATTCCAAATTCCAAGCAGTGCAGTCTTCAATAATCATTTATTGCTCAGGCAAAAAGAATCATTTGCATTTTACTAGGTCAGCAATTCAAAGGTTAGAAGAAAGGATCTTCTCTGATATATATAGTGCTCTGCTTGGTTCAAAGTACAGTCCTTTGCCTGTGGACATATCAAGTGGAGAACACTAGCAGTGGAGCTCCAACAGAAAAGGGAACTAGAGCGAAGGTTTCCCTCCATTTAAACTTTTACGTTACATTTTTTAAAACTGTATCATCATTTGGAAAGTCTTGAGTATTAGTGATTCCCTCAAGGTAAGAAAATTAAAGAAATGTTGGCTCTGAAAGCAATGAAGTGTGTCGCTGTGCAAGGGATTGTCTGTTACAGAAATGGTCACTGGTACTCAGTAATTGCACAGATTTGCGATGTAACAATATTATGAGATTTGTACAGAATTGTTTGTTTCTTTGATACATATGCAATGTACTATGGCAGCGGCTTTGTTTGGTGTGTTATAATCTGCTCCTTTCCTGACACTTACTGAATTAGGCTGCTCTCTCCTAACTCGCCCCAAGTTGTTATTCTTCAGTGTGAGCGCTGTATAAAACCAGAATCTGTCTTGTCCAACGTCTACACATACATGCCCTTCAGGAGCCACCAGTCTGTTATCAAATAATTCCAAACTCTATCAGATTTTCTATTTGTTGATGTATTTATTGTGCTTTTAAAAAAAAAGCCAGTACTTTCCATCTATTTGCTCTTCAGTGACTCTTGGCCAACATGCCCCACCCAGCACCAATACTTGGCTGTATTAGTGAACTTGGAATGCTTCTATTTAAAAAGTTAAGATTCAAATGCCATCCCTGGCATATACAATGGGTTCTTTCTCCCCCATGACCATGTGGGCTTCAGTGAAAAAGCAGCAGCAAGAGCTGGCAGAGGAACGATACACATGAATTGTGAAACTATACAAGCCCATCAGAATGTCAGAGGGAACAGACAGGGTCATGTTTGTTGCAATCATTACTTTTTCTCTTTTAAATACCCATGGATTTTCTTCCAATTTTTGTTCTCCGCTCAATTCATATTCCCAGCAGACGTAGACTCAGTTATAATTAGTGTGTGACAGGGAAAAGGTAACTGGTTGTTTATCCTCTTTTAGAACTATGTTAGGAGATTTACAGAATAGAGAAAAGTAAAATTAAGACTGAAGAAGAGAGTGATGATCCAAAGTTCATGTCAATGAAGGATCGTTATGTGCTGCCTACATTGACATTGAATGTATCACAGTGTTACTTTTTTAAATACAGACAGCAGTTAAATATTTAATCTTATCATGAGAAATCTTTCCTCATTTATATTCCATTGATCATTAACTGATAGAAGACATATACATTTATATTCTGCTGGTGAAGTTGTTAAGTTTGAAACTGCAAAGCTAGACTAGCTAATCTCAGCTTTGGTAACCGAAAGCCTCTAAATTCCAGCAAAGTGATGAAGAGGCTGTTAATACTGC